GATACACCCAAGTAGTGCCGACAGACTTGAAGGAAAGTAGTTACTTACTGCGACAGTTGGAGACATACAGTATATAGGAGTTTGCTGGCTTCCCCGGTAGCTGACCATGGATGGTGGATATTATATAACTATACTCATTTATCAATTCCTAGTCCCGGGATAGCATTACAAGGTTTGAGGGATGCAATTGACTTGGATGTTGCAGATATATATATATATATGTGAAGCCGAGTCATGTCAGACAGCAGATCTAATGGCATTCGGTCAAAGGGCTGCGCTTCAAGGTATTGAATCCCAGGGATGTCCAGATTTGTTGGACCCCTCATCCACGAGAACCGGACTGGACACAGAGGACATACATGGACATACCTTATTCGGAGAACCCGGATATGCCCACATTCTACAGGGAAGATACCACTTACTGGCGAGACCGGCAGTGACTTTGACTGAGGTGTCCATGACCTCCTTTGATACGAATGAAGAACAGATGCACAAAGAGACCCTCAGGGAGTCCCAGAAGAAGCGGAGGACACAACAGCAGGAGCACCTTGGGCAGAAGAAGCGGTGGCACCTGCAGGACATGTTCCAGATGGACAGAGTCAGATGTTCCAGGCCTTGTGGAGGAGTAAGTGCATGCAACCATTGCCGTGTCCGATATTCCAACGAACTCACGTCATAAGGGCATGGTAAGGGCATGGTAATACTGTGTAATAATTTACCATAAATTGTTTTGAAGCTCATGTCCATCCAAAATTTCCCTTTGCCTACCTGTTCCTTTGATGCTTTGTAGCTCTGGGCCGAGCAGCCGAGGCTCAAATCGATAGAGACTGGTGGTTCAGGGGCGCTGCTTCGTAAGAGCTTGCTGGGGTGGATGAGGACGACCTTGTTGGCGAAGATCATTCAACTTGATCTAACCTCCATAAGATTGGTACACTGGCACACTGCGACTGTGCCTAGAGAGTGTCTTTCTACACGATGCAATATTGGTTAATGGTTGCGACCACTGAAGTAATTAGTTCTTGGACCCGCTGCAGCACTCTGCGCGCTTGAACGAACGCGATGCACAGATGTAAGCTGCTTCGTAAACCATTCCATTTGTGCGCTTTGTGTCAAAGAGTAATCCTCAAATGTGTGGAAAAGTCAAGGCCCGATGGAAAAGTGAACCGCGCGATAGACGTTGTAGGATGTTGTAGGTATTTGTTGTCACTTGCTTTTGGGAAACCTCTCTAATATCTGTGTACCCTTGACTAAGTGGTTGTTCCCATGTTGAAACACACCTGAACAACACCAGTGGGCCACGCAGGTTTTGAAACATGTTGAGATCCCATGGTGGGCCACGCATCTCGACACCATGTCCCACCGTTGTAGATATATCTCCTTTGTAGCGTTGTGCATGTCCACAGCTTGAGGGCCCACTGTGTTGTTTTAGTGCCATTTCTGTTCCAGGAGTGTGGTCGCTTCTTGGAGCTTTGAAGCCTTCTTCGCTTTGGCCATTTTCTCCAACTCCATTTTTATTGGTGTGGAGGCTCGGGACAAATTCTTCAACTCTTTCTTCGGACTCGCCTTCTCAAAGACAAAGGCTGTGGAACCTCTTTAAAGGGTGTGTAATTAAGTGTGTTTGACATGTGTTTTCTATATTTTTGAGAGCGGGTATGGCTTGCGCTCCGCAGGTCTTTTGTCCATTGATCCGTTGTTCTTGCAAAAAACGCCGATCGAGCAAGTCGACGAAGGTGCATTATGCAGCACATCATGCCAACAGCTCGATGCCACCCGTCTTTTTCTACATTGACCAGACGCTTGGAGCGACCACCTGTTCTTTGGCGGTTCTTTGTTCTGCGTGTGCCGGTTTGCTCAGGTAGTAGGCGTTATGAGTTTCTACCCGGGAATCTCAAGATTGCTCAGCTTTTGTTCCATGGACACGTATTTTCTTGATCGAGGATCTATGCAGGTCTCTTTTTGGTCGAGCTCGTGCTGCGAGTCATGGCAGAAGGAAGGCCATTCTTCTTCCGCTCTCCGAACCTCGCATGGATTCTCGGATGTGCAACGCGAAGTTTGCACACTGCATGAGGCAATTTTTCCGGAGAGATGCCCAAGAAGCATGTTAAGAGAAGGGGGTCATTGTCACAGGCCTTGCTGCAGCTGAGTGTTAGCTTACACGATCTCGGATGCCTCCCTTAATGTTTACTGTAATTGGTCAGCAGTTCTACATTCAACAGATTTCTTGGGAGCAGCCGTGTGGTTTGGAACAAAGCTAGGAACTACTTGGATTTGATGATCAACGCCACCTCAGTCCTGAATTTGGTCTCCGCGGTTGCCAGCACCTCTAGTGAGGACACTGAGACCATCAAGGCGCAACAAGTCCAAGGATTTAGCGCATGTCCTATGACCATAAAGAAAAACAAATTGCGAAGACCTGCACCACAAGAGAACACCCAAACTTTGAGTTTTGATTTATAAGTGATATGCATATTGTGCACACTGCCAGCCCTTTCAATCCTGTCTCATGTTGCAATATAGCGCAGCTTGCGTTTGGCTCACACGCCACGCGCATGTGAACTGCGAGAGCCAGGCATCTGGAAACATGCGCATTATCCGCATCCTCCGATTGACGAGGGTCATTCGAGTCGTACGGATTGTGAAGATTGTTCGCTTTATCAGGGCCCTCAGGTCTTTGGTGCCTTGGATTGGGATGTGATGCATAGTGGGTCATCGCAGACATGTGACATGTGTTTTTTAATCCTTGAACTTCAAAAGTCACTTGATAGAGCCGATCTGAGAGAACAAAGTGCTGGTGTTTTGGGTTGGTGATTGGTGACATGCCAGGAATTGAGGCAGATGACATTATGTGTTTTTTCCTGTCACCTTCTTACTCGAGTTCTTCCGTTTTTTCCTTTTTGTGTTATGGTATGCTATCTCACCTGAGACGTGAGATATCCATGGTACGACGTAGGCATCACTGGCACCCGAGGTGCATTCGATCTTCGGTACCATGAAGGTCTTGCTTTGGTCGGTCCTTCTCCTGATCATGATCATGTACTTTGGTGAACCGAGGAGACGACTCTGGATCAACACCAGATAGCGATGCACTTTGTTACTAGTAGCTTCTTGTTCCTCTTAAGGTAGTAATGCCAGGAACTACTAGTGGCTTCTTCCTACTAGTAGTAATGCCCTTGTTACTATAGTTCTACAGATGGTGACCAACAGTTGTGGGGCACTTCTCCACAAAGATTCTTTGCATTTTGTTGACTGTTCCCAGTGATCATGACCAATGACTCACTTGCATGCGGTGCATTTGAGAAAGGATCACATTATGGCATGAACTGAATCCATGCTATTGCTCTTTAGGTATGTCTTCGCCATCGTGTTTACCGATGTCAGTAACGAATATTCAAGCGGCTTCGAAGAGATCAGCGAAGAGCATTCTCAATTCTTGCGGAAGCACTTCTTTGACCTGGAGCGATCGATTATCACATTGTTCCAAAGTATTTGCAACGGGCTCAATTGGGGTGACGTTGCAGACAAGCTGAATGAGCTCAGCCGTGTTTGGGGCTATCTCTATATAATTTATATCGCATTCTGTGACTCGGCAAGACCTGTTGGCAGAAATGGGCCTGGTTCCACTCTGGCAGATGGCTGAAGGCATAGGGCAGCATAGGGACTAGAACATCACCTGGCAAGGCTTCCAGCAAACCTGCCGTCATGAAGTCCATAAACTGTGTGTCAATTTCCTTTAACTAGGCCGCCCTTAGTGTGAGAAGCTGAGGCATGTTCGCAGTCCTGAATGTGATGACTGGTATGAAGTTTGGCCTTGCTTAAACTGATTTTTTGGTTGTGTCATTGTGCGAGCCTCCTTGCAATGTAAAGAACGAACACTGTATTTTTGTAGGTTTGGTTTTGGATTCATATGGTTTCTTCACGCATTCGTGAGGTTTTGCCAATCTGCGATTGAAACTGGGTGTCAATCATGTATGTTTTACTTTATCCTGCTTTTGCCCACATGAAATTGTTGCATATCGTGCAGTTTTAATGTATTGTTTTGTGGGCATGTTTTTCACAACACCTACCTGGTTTTGTTTAGGATGCTTTTTACTTTCCCTATGGGCGAACCCTGTTCTGAGAATAGCTTTTACTCTTTGTACGATTTTACAGCAAATGCAAGCTTAAGTTGGAAGGAAAGTGCCGAGCGAGATCAAGAACTGCACATCCAAGCAGTCCTGAGCACGAAGCAACAGCAAATCGAGACCTTCATGTCCATGTTCGAAATGCTTCAGCAACAGGGCCGTTCAAGAAGTTTAATTTGTTCCGACATGTTTTGTTCTTTTTCTGTGTTCCTCGCTGTAAACCACCGTGCGCGTCTGGCGTCGTTTCAGGCAAGACCTGGGTCGAAGAGCGACCGGCAATTTGACCTTCATGGAATTTGAGGAACTCTTTGACAAACCACACATTCGCCCCTTGTCATTCTTGCCATGCGCTGCCCACGGCGGTCAGTGTGCAGGTCCTAGCTACAACATACAAATAAGCGATTCCTAAGCACAGTCAACAGAGCCACAGCATTTACATGGCTTGCTTTTGCCACATGAACCTTTGCGCGGTGAGCAACCTTTATTGTCCAGATAATTTATTATTTCAGGTTGCGCTTGTTTGGCCAGCTTGGACAAGCAAAATGCCAGTCACTGGACAAGGACTGGGTACAGTACTTTGAGCAATTGGGTAAGTGAACAGGATGGTCATATTCACAGCACTGCCAAGACATCAGAGGAGTTGATGGCTTCTTTACGCTGCTTTTGCTCGAGGTTCCTTTTTCGAGGCCTTGGATGTGGAGACGAAGGATGCATGGACCCTCTTCAACCTCATGGATATCTCAGGAGAAGGGAGTGATAGGGAGCCGAACCCGAACCCGAACGTCCGAGCGAGGTCGTGACCCCAAAAAACGACACTTCTTCGCAAGACATGCCTATCAAGTCTGCAGACAGATGGGTGAAAAAGGATGAATACGGAGCCCCGTGGCACTGGAACAGTAGTGATAGCACCACAATGTTGATGGGCTGGTTGATCCACAACACCATGGCCGGTGGGCCTTGCATGATCGTCAGCAACTGACATCTTCAGCAACCTTGAATCCGAAAAGTCTGAGTTGTCACTGTAATTATGTCTCACTATAACCACAGATGTTCTTTGAAGAAGCCTCCGGACTGAACGGAGACGCACGTGGAGACCACCCGCAGGCAGTGGTGATTTGGAGGCCTCGGAGTTCGTCGAAGGGTGCATGCGCCTCAAGGGCCCCGCCCGCGCCATCGACGTCTCCCTGCTTTTACGCGAGCAGCGACGCACGCGGAAGAAGCTCTTGGGCCGCTTGGTGGCTGCGGTGGGAAGCCTGGATGGTTCACTCAATGCCCCGAGTCAAGGCAGAGGGAGAATAGCAGTCTCAACTCATCATACCCAACTCTCAGCTAGAGACATAGATAGCTGACGGTAACTGCCAGCCAGGATGATGAAACGCAAGAACCCCAATACTGCTTCAAGTACTAGTGAGTGATTCCTTTTGCTGCAGAGATGCCATTCTGGGTGGCAATTGCGGCCCCTTTGCAAAGGCCCCTTTTTGCAAATGAGCAGAAAGTGCCCACCACAACTACGAGGCAATCATTGGTTGAGTGTTGCCATACCCCTGGGTGATATCATTGGTGAGTTGACCCTCCTTGTGTTTGGGGATTTTTATTCCATAAGATTCGATACTTAAGCTCCGAATGACGACCCTCTTGCAGCGAGTTGAAAACATAAGGCACAGACCAAAGAGGTTTCTGCACAAATAGAAATGGTCTTGAAGGTGTTCTTCTTTTCGGCATCCTTAAAAAATGCAGTTGTTGTTGTCTTCATCAGCGAGGCATGGAGCAGCTGCTTCTGAAGCTTTCGGGCGAGCGCAAAGTCCACTTGCCAGATGTGCCAGAACATGTGTCTATCTAACTGTTTCGCGTTTCACTCACAGGAATGACTTTTTGTGAACAAGGATGGCGGTAAGCCCTTGTGGCGCCCCAAGAAACAATTTGAAGGAACACATGCACTTGTTTTTGGATGCTTTTGGGCTTTTGGAGGTTTCCAAGCCAGTTTGCCAATGTTCTTGTAGTCAACAACAGATGGGGCCTGTGCTACTACCACGTGGGGGAGCTGGCAAAGCCATCTCCGGTGGGGACAGCTAACGCGACAGCTGACGCTGTTGGCTCTCTTGGGCCAGTGGACCATCGTGTGGGACCTACATCGCTGCAAGCAACCTCGAAAACGTATTATTTAAACAACAGAAACACGTAACACATTAAACAATAGAAACATATTGACTCAAGAAACTGAAGAAGAACCCAACAAGAAAACCAAGAAAGAAGGACATGAGGACATGTTCATCAGCAAGAAACACATGACCCTCAAAGCCCTGTGAGAGTGTGTGTCCTTGTGATGCTTGCTCATGCTTGCTCAGCATTTCTCCCAGGGCATGCATGCAGCGCCAGGTCACATCATGTTGTGTCCAATGTTCTCCGAACATATCTTAATGTGCAAGCTGCAACACGTGGAAATACCCCTCCTACGTGTCAGATCTTTGCAATAGGGGTTTGCCATGGTTTGCCCCTGACTTGCCTCATTTCAGCGGTGAAAAAGATGCTCCAAACGCTGCTCGCGGCTCTTTCACCCCAGCTCTGGACCAGCAGCAGCCTCCTTCACGCCCCGATCGAACCGTTTAAAGCGGCCGAAGTTCGCAGGTGGCGAACTTGGCCATGGCCGGTGACGCCTGGGTTTGGGGTGACGCCTGGGTGGAACCTGGAAGGACAGGTGGTGGCCTCCAACTGTTCAGAGTCTTATGGCCTCCACCGCACCATAAGTCAACGTTGATTTAAGGCGACTTGTTCGATCTGAAGTGTGAGCTTACAGGGTTGCGACTCGAGGACTTGAGAACCGTCCGGTGAGAAAAGAATTGGCGCCGCGGCGATCGAAAGTAGAGTCGTAGGAACCGAGATCTCTTCCTAAGCATCCTAGGAAATAGACAAAGCACAGAAAACACTGCGTTCACCAACTGTAAAAAGACTATAGTAATGACGACGCTTCACAGTGATGTTTGTTTGTATAGTTGTTGTTCACCCTGATCGAAATCTTCTAGATCAATCAAACTGAAACTATTTGTCACCAGTGTTTGCACTTTTGTTCTTCTTGAGGGCTTGTGGCAGAATGTTTTGGGCACTCTCAATGACGAATCTTGCGATGCGTGGTCATGGTCTAGTCCAGGGGAATCGCAAGGTGGTAGATTAGTCTATTAGTCAGCATTTTGGTGGATGGGTGAATCGGAACACCTTGAACTTGAACAATATTCCTTGCTGTTGACAATGAGCTCATGTTTGAGATGTTTGAGTCGCCCTCCCCAACCCCACTGGAAGAGTTATCCAGAACGCCAGCTCAACGAAACTGTGTTTCTTACTGAGGCAGTGTCCTTTCTATGTTCATATATGTTCAGCATGTCAGGCGGTTAGCTCTACAGCCTTTGCAGTATATGTTTTCCTTTGTTTGATCAACAATGCAACTTTGAGACGTGGGCTAGTATGGCGCTATGGTCTTTATGGTCTTGGTAAGATCGGCGGAAGACCCCCCCTCTCGTGGTTCCAAAGTTGCTTGGGGTGCCAAGGCACATGCTTTCATCAGTCGACTCTTGCATGATGACGCGTGGCCAGGGGCCCGGTTGAAACAGCCAGTGCCAGTGCTGTGGACATCAGCCGGATCGAGCGCAAGATCGACCGCAAGACGACCAAGGGTAGCGGACATCGTTGGTTCGTGATTGTTTGAACACTATGCAAGAACAGTGGTGCTTCCATTCTCCATGGTGAACAAGACTCATTGGACTCAATACTCCGATATCAGGTGTCAACTCACTAAATCCAACCCCACATCATAACTGAACAGCGTGTGGCTGAAGCATATACTGTACACATATATACAGTATACACAGCCAAAAGGAGCACACTCGTATGCTGATCACCTGGTGTTTACTATACCTGAACCCCCTTGATTTGCAGACAAAGAATCCCGGCCAAAGCGATTTGTTTCACGTGCGTCTATCGAAACCCAGCTCAGGCTGTACTTCAGAAGGTCCTGGCAAATGGGCAGCTTGGCAACTGAACCGGAGATGGAGATGATCCGCCGCACTGCCTGACATAGTTGGATTGAAATTTGTGCAACCACCAACTACAACGTTCTCCCTCAGTTACTGTAGATGTCAGGATCTACCCCATCAGAGCTCCAGCTATGCCTTTGTATCCCTCATGCGTTCCCTTCGAAGCCACCCACCTAGGTGATTCAAGTTATTACGTGATATTACGCGGGGTTGCCTCCATATAATGTACGGGCCCCTCCTGCCAGCTTCGCTTGAGAGGATTATGTAACCACTGAAACACCAAAAGCAAACTCGGCAGGGAGGGAACCAACTCGTCAGTCAAGCCGTGCCGCTTGGTCATCAGACACTGCAGCGCGTCGTTTGGAAGAGCAATTCACCCGTAGTCTTTGGCAAAGCTTTCACCCGCGATATTCTCCGTAGCCAGGGTCTACGTCCCAGGTGAAAGTTCCTTCATTGCGACCTGGTCCTTAGGCGTGCCCCAAGCTCAGTGGAAGATTTTGCCGGTCGATCTGGTTGAGAGATGGCTTTGCTTGCGCATGCCTTGCACTTCCCTGCTTTTCCATTCTGAAAGTGTTTGGAGCGGAGCAGTGTCTCCGCGATGAGATCAATTTTGTGCGTTTCTTGTGGCGAGTTGTCTCACTCTCCGTGACTCATGGCTTGGCGTATGCGGATAGTGGCCGTGTTTCTTGGCATTCACAGGCAGCAACTCCGCATGCGGATCTTGCTTTTCTCAGGTTTCTCAATGGCAAGCGCAAGGACGGTAATCAGGCGTGTCCAAACTTCGTCAGTCTCATCTCTTTAGCATTACTTGGAGAATCCAGCACCAGAACCGTCTCAAGTGTTTTCGCCCAGCCTTTTGGGCCAGATCTCATGGGGTGTGCATAGGCCACCGCCGCCTTCACGCGGGTGCGTAGCCGCTTGGACGAGGCTCGTTGGACCGATGGACCACTCCTCCTGACACGGCGTTGAGTAGTGATAGACACCAAGAAATGCCTTGATTGTTCTTGGACAACCTGTTTCAGAAGTTCTGGGAACAATGTAGCATTGTGAACGATTGTGAACTGGAGTGGGCCCCAGCTCGGGGCTTCCCACACAACGGTTCTTCTTTCATCGTTCAACCTTTGGGGTTGAATTTGCAAGTAAGGCATCCCTACTTATTTCGTTAATCTGCAAGTATGTTCAAGTGAGGCTCCTGGGGATTCTTCGTGTTGACCTGGTAGGCTGTGGATGCTGCCGATCACATCGAGGTTGGCTGGTGTCATGGGGATTGTGTCAGCCACCGGCTCGGGGCATGCTTGCCATGCCATGAGCAAAAGGATCAGAAAGGGATTTGATTCCTGGATTCCCGTGTGCCATGCATTATCATGCATTAAAACATCCTGTTTGATTCTTTTTGCTTTATGTTGAAAGTCGCTGACGATTTGGATGTTTCAACCCACGGGTGCCTTCAATCTAGCCTTGGGGACTTAACGTGCGAGGGCGACCATTGCCATCGGGTCGCGTACTGCGGCACGTCAGGAACAAAGCAAGCAAAAGAACTGGGCAAGGCGTTTGTCCGCCGCTTTGCGCCACCTGCCTCAGATCGCGACGCAAGCCAATTCTGTGGGGGTTAATGCACACTAGGGAAATCAAATTTAACAGAGGACTCAGCAATTTGGGTATATGTTGTTTCATGTTTGTTCCACCTTGCGCAGTGAAACTATATGAGTTTGGATCACCGAGGGCAGCTGGCTCCTGGTGACTTCCCAGTTGTTCCAGTTGGAGAACCCCCAGCTCTCTTCATTGTGGTTGACCTTTGCACGGCGAAATTTTCTTGGCTCACTGCGGCAGTGTCAAGAGGCCAAGCTTCAACTCGGTCGTTGCAGAAAGAGGACCCGATGCATGTGGCGAAGTCCTTTCCACAGCCACAAGGCTTAAAGCTTCATTAGATGCCCCCCAATCCGTCACTACACGCCACTTTGGAGATCGAAAAGTGAACAAAGCACGTTTAAAACTAAAAATCCACTAGAGAGAGGGTCCAAGATACCCAACCAAGCACACAGCACCAAGCGCTTCAAAGACTTCAAAGAACCAACTTTGGTTTTTGGGCCATGCCGCAATCATCGCGCCTGCTTTTCGGAATGGGAGGCTCAGCTGCAGGGTCCCAGCGGAAGCGAGGGAACAAAGAACATGAAAGCGACCACCCAGTCTTGTGGTGTTCTCATTTGTTCAGAGTCAAAGATATAGGGATGTTCGTCTTTTTCATCATCAACAAGTCCTTTGCACGCAGTATAGTCTAGTCCCAAAGCCCAAAAACGATAATTAGGGAGAGAGAGAGATATATA